ATTTCATAATATAACTTGTGATAAATGTTCATGACCATAGGCCTAATAATTTAGGAGCTATAGATTTTGCAAGTTCATTATCAGATTTTGCATGCTCTCTATACAGATCTGAATGATTGTGTTGCTTGACTTAGCTAAGATTTAAATCATGTCTTGGAGATAATATAATAAGTGTAGTGATTTTCATGAGCTTTCCAAGTTGTTAAGTATCACACCTTTTGGTGGTCTAAATCTCCAGTTATAAGATTGTGAAGTTACATGGCAGAATCTGTACAAGTCTGGACAGAGGTGCTCAATTGTGCTTGATTGACCTTGTTAATGGTGGAATCACCGTGTGATGATAATAAACATGTTTTAGATAATTTAATAAGCTTTCTAGAAAGTTAAGGTTCATGCTTGTTTGATGTCTGTAACTCCAGTTATGCCGTTTTGAAACTACTACTACTTTTTTGTCCTAGTTCTGTGCAGATATGAAACATTGGCATGCTTGACCTAGTTAGCTTTAAATAAGCTTTTGGTGATAATAACAATATTGTAGGAAATTTCATTAGCTTTCTATAAAGTCTAGGATCACCTTCTTTGGATGTCTGGATCTCTAGTTTTGGTTAAAACAAGTGTCTGCTATGTTGCTGTCTAGATTTCTATACATGTGCTAGGTGATTCCTTTAGCTTGCTCTTGTTTGGCTTAACATGTTGGTTAGTTCTTCATCGATGCATGTGTGCAATATCTGAACTTAAGTTCACTTGTGTGCCATGACTAATATGCTTGCTATCCCTCTATAATAGGTTGTGTGATGTTTAGTTAAATAACTCTATGTGTCTATGTCTTGCATGATCTTATGGTTGCCTTGAATGTTATTATGTGATGCATCTCATATTACTATTCTTCATATTCATGCACTTGCATCTTGCATCTCATCTAGGTACGCTAGATGAACCATGTGAAGGACGTGATGTTGGAGCCAAACCCGAAAATGGTGTATGGTGGACCTATCCCGAAGATGGAAGGACTAGACAAGTGCTACGATGGGAGATACTCACCAAGCGAGTGTCACCTAACAAACACTAACCTTGTGTTGGATTCCAGGCAAGCCCCGGAGCATTCTAAGTCTCTCATTGTTTTATAAAATACTACTTGAGTCCTTCATGTTTGATGCATTAGGTTATAAGAGTTGACTGGAAACACTTGATGCATGGAACTACCTTGTCCAGATATATACACTTTTAACCCTATGTAGGTCAAGGATCGAATGTATGCTTAGCAATGCTTAGACCGGTAGAAGTCGGGTGATTTCCTGTCACCTGCGAGATATAGGTGGATACCAAAGCACGGTTGGCTATATTTTCTATCATGGAAATAACCATGTGTTAATAATGAATGGAGAGCGGACGGGACATCGATAGAGAAGCAACAAGACATGGAGGTCTTGGGTGTGGATGTATCCCCATCTGTGTCGATTAAGAACCGTACCGTTGTTGGCGCTTTTTGATAAGATTGAACGCATGCCTATCACTTAGCTAGTCGGATAACTCGTTCCGACCGTGAAGCCGAGTAGCTCAACTCAGGCCGGGCCCCGCTCTGTTAGAGTGCGTACTCTAGATGGAAGTAAGGATGTACGGAGAGCGGATCAATAGATCGTGGGCAAGCATGACCTGAGCGACCTGGTCCGAGACCGTGGGCAGGCATGGCTTGAGCGACCTGGCTACCGTTAGTCCCTGATTGTGCGGCGCTAGGTGAACCCGTGAAATGTGGACCTGAGTTGTACCAAAGGTAACCTAAGGCTACCGTGGCTGTTAGACTTGGGTTTGTGTTAGGAATAAATTCCCAGCTGGATGAAATCGATTCGAATCGCCGTTTCTCCCGAACAGTGAGAAACTTGGCTAGTCCCAACATCGTAGTAACTATATTATGGAATATGATGGTTATGATGAATATGAAAATCTTACATCGGCTATGGTTACTATTGTATGCTATCAAATGATATACCACATGTTTGGCACATGTTAGTTGCTAATCTAAAGATGAATAGCTATAATTAACTTGATGACCAAAGTATAATTGTACAACTGAATTAGTCGCGTTTTATGTAAAATATTGTCAAGCTAGCTCCACTTATAAAGCCTTGCATGATCCTTGTAGTCATTTTATTTCTGGTTTATGACGGGTGAGTCTAGCTAAGTACATTCGAGTACTCAGGGTTTATCGCACCATGTTGCGGGTGAAGTTCTCGGCCTGCTGAAGGTGGTGGCTAACCGCCGGTGGGCTCAGTTACTCTATATTTATTTCCCATCTATATGATTTTATTAGAGGATGTCACTTATACTAGCAATGTATTTGGAACTTATATTAATGTAATCATTTGAAAGCTATGTTGTTTTCACTAACCGGTTTTGAAACCCAAACTTGTACTATTATTTGTGAACCGATTTGTAATATTATTTTCGCTGCAACTCTATGTATGTGATGTGTATTTGCTTAATCACGCGATCTTGGTTGTGATGTTGATTTAACGAGGTCCTTCATGACACTCGGCGGACTACCGGATTTATATAAGTGAAAGTATGCGCGTGTCAACGTGTTAGCGGGGACAACCGTACTTGATCTTATATAAATTGGGCGGTTCTGTCACAACAATTATCGTTGGAGCTACGTCACACCATCTTGCTACACTGCTGCATGCATCGACCGAGCAGTGACCGAGCAGCAAGAATTGGAGCGGCAATGGCAACGAGAGCCTAAACGGCATTGGCAAATAGCACAGGCTGTAGGTAAGGTGTTCGTCGGAATGCAACAATGGACTTGACTTGCTGATTTCATTTGTTATTTTGCTCCTAACTTTTTTTGGTATCATAGTCAGGACAGTACTACTATAGACACCCAACATGTGATTTGTGAATAATTTTTTCAATATTAAATCTGAACTGACCAAATATAATAACCATTTTATTTTAAAATACAATATATGTGTCTTATTCCAAATTAGGGGTAAAATCACAAATAGCCCTAAAAACTAGGGGTAAAATCACAAGGGCATATTTGTCCTTTGGTACAAAAGTTAACACCGTTAGGGGATGATGACGGAATAGGAGTAAAGTGGTGCTTCGTTCTGAAAAAGCAGGGGCAAATTCACAAAGCTAAAAAAATAGGGATAAAATCACAATATCGATATAAAATAGGGGCATGAACGTAAGAGCCCCTAAAATGAAATGTGGTTGAAACATCTATTTTTAATGAAAAGATTTATTCTATGGATTTATAGAAATTTAATTTGATGACTAATTGATAACCATGCCAAAAGAGTTTCATTCAATTCTTCTCTCTCTTCTAAAAAATATTGCCACATCATAACAAATGTTTATGTCACGGCTTCTTAAATACAAATCAAACTCTGATGAAGCTAACAAGAGTGGATGAACTCATTGATCCGAACACAGGTGGGTGCGACGAACAGTTGGTACGTGATACTTTCTAGCAAGAGGAAGCCGAGGCTATTTTGACAATCCCAAACGAAGAAGGCATGCTGAATTGGCTAGCTTGGCACTTCGATTCAAAGGGCCTTTTCTATGTAAAATTGACATACAAGCTTGCTGTGCAGATTAAAGACAACGAGGCTGGACGGGCAGCTGGGACATGTGCGGAGAGGAGCTTAGCGAAATTTCAATACCCATGGCACAAAATATGGTAGCTGAAAGTGCCAAACAAGGTCCAAATGTTCTTTTGGCGTTTCATCCACAACAGCCTACCAGTTCGGAATAATCTAAAAAGAAGTAGCAAAACCGAAACAATCTGTTCGATGTGCAATAGATTTGACGAAGACTGTGACCACCTCTTTTTCATTGCAAAAGGCCCGGGAGTGTTGGCAGTCCATGCATTTGGAGGAGGTGTGGTGCAGTCCGGGAAAAAAAGTAGCTCTAAAGATATGGACAATGTAACTAGATCTTCAACTGAAAATTGTGGTATGGCTTTGGAGGTGGTGGATGGCGAGGAATAAGGCAAATGCGGGAGAAAAGGGTGCAAGTTGCTGGGGAGGTGTGCAACGCAGTGCAATACCATTTGAATGAGTTTGCAAAATTGAAAGGCTCAAACAAGCCCCAAAGTCAGGTTTCGCAAACAAAGTGAAAGCCACCACAGGAAGAGCACTACAAGCTAAATGTTGATGCGGCGTTCTCGACTTTAACAAGGATGGGAGGTTAGGGTTATGTGGCAAGGGACAACACAGGATCCGTGAAAGACATTCGGGCGGGCTTCATCCAAAGAGCTGCAAGTGTCCTTCATGATGAAGCTCCGGTAGCTTGCTACGGTCTGGACAGAGTAGCACAGCTGCGAGTGACAAGGATTATTTTGGGACTGACACCTCAAATCAGGCAAAGCGTTGACAATAAATCTGCTGGACTGTGGCCCGTAAGGTGCTCTTTTTAGATAAATTCGTGAAATTATGGCTTAGGGCATGTTCGGTTAGCAGAATTTCAACCAGGAATCAATCCAGCTCATCAAAAATTATACAAATTAGAGAAGGAAGCCGGCCAGGGATCATTCCATGCCACCATTTCATGGGAACCGAACGTGCCCTTAGCAACTTTATATCCTGTTCCATCTCAATTTATCCTAGAACCTGTAATAGGTGGCCGATTGTATGGCCAGCGCCAGCCATGGTGTAGCCGTGGGCATCCGTTCTGGTGCCATGCACCTGTAACCGAATTCGTCGTCCGGCGACGTGTGGCTGGAGTTCTGGTCTATAATAAAGCGCTTTGAGATTAAGGAGAAAAAATTCCTTTTCTATTGCAGAGAGACTGACCGAGCAACTTTTTTTTTTTTTTTGACGACGGACAGGAATTTGTCAAAAACAAACCTAGCCCAACAGCGGCCCGAATCGAGCGCCGCCGCCGCCTTGCTCTCGGCTCCACCACCGTCCACCACTCCCTCCGTCTCTGTGCCCGCCTCGCCGCCGGAGACGCGCAAGCTCAACCGTTTGCGCTGACAGAGTACCCGCAGGCCCGGCATGGGAAAGAAGATTCGCAGCGCCGATGGCACCTCGACGCCGGCCAGGTCCATGAACCAGGCCGTGTCGCTCCGCGAGACCTCCGGGAGGACGCACGTAGACGATGCCTCCCTGCTGAGGGTCAAGCACTTGCAGAGGCTAGCGGCGTGGGCGGGCGTGGCGGCCGGGGTGGGCCCGATCGGCGCGCTGCTGGGGCGCCGCCTCGCCGCGAGCGCCGAGGCCGCCGGAGTACCCCCTCGACGCCGCCACTTTCCTTTGCCAGAGGTGACATGAGAGTTCCTGCTTACTTTACTACTACGCCTTATTCATCCTCTTTGCATGTTGTCTAGCCGCCAGGGCACCGCACCTTGTCTTGTACTGGCTGTTGTACATTGGGGAATGTATTGTTGTCAATTGTAAGACAGATTGATCTTCTGCTAGTGACTCTATGTCTATGCATATGTTCGACAATGTAACTTTTATAGACCAACTATAATTCTTTCCTATCATGCTGAAAACATAGTGGTGTAGTGGCGCTGACAGCAATACTTGATGACAGTTAACAAGCAGTTATATTGTTTTCTCAGGAGATAGATATTATTTCTGATATCCATACTTCGTCAACGTCATTTTCTATGTTTTGATTAGCGCTGTATTATCTGCTAGTGGAGGACTTATATGTAATTGTTAAATTGTAAGCAGCCATACCATTATGTATAATTCATTTCTATTAGACATAATTATCAAAGATTTTAAGGTCTATTGGAAATGATTAAAAAACATCTGTAACCAATATGTCAGCTTGTCTGGGGTTGTAAAGGATTTTGGTAACTGTTGCAAGGCCTTGAGCATATCTTTCTCAGCCTTTTGTCTTTGCAAATGGATATTTCTCGACTCTCATGTTTAACTAGATTTTGTGCTAATCTCCACTCAATCACAGATAACAGTATCTGTCAAGATACATGGATGAACAATTAATATATTAATATATTTCAGTGGTTTATGTGATGTGATAAAAAATCCATTTCATCAATAAAGTTTCTGATAGCCATTTGACATGTCCTAATAAACATTGGTTGGGTGGTTCAAATGTATGATCGATCGTGATAGTTATAATCCTGCTGCTTATTATAACACACTGCATGCCAGGATGGTTCTTGGTCAACATTCATAATACCATAGAAGTAGGGATAAAATTGTATCGGATCTGAATGGATATTATCGATGCTGAATGCAGGTAGTTGTTTCTTTTTGGGATTCAGAGTTGGATAGAGATAGTGTCGGATGCGTCGGATATTGATATCTATCCCATAAAATCCGAGTATTTGGATTCAGATACGGTACTGGATTCAGATATAGATTATCCATTTAGTATTCAAACCCTTTTGGGACAGATGGATATTGGGAAATCCATCCCGTTTTCATCCTTACATAGAAGCAAAAGGTTTCATTGCACCCTGATTGGTTGTTCTTCCTTGTGTCCTGTAACTAGTCAGCTGTGAGACAAACATGAGTCTACATGTACCTCATTAGTTTACGATAAGCGAAGTAAAATGAAAATGATGTATGACAATGATCATGTGTGCCTGTCTGCACATACTCATTAGTTTATTTTCAGCAAAGTAAAATTAAAATGTTGTGATGACAATGAGGGTGTGCCTTTTCCATTTAGCATGGCCTGCTGATAAAATTTCTATCTTAAACCATTACTCTTGGAATTCAGATATATTATGTGAAATTTAGTTGTATCAAATAACTAAGAATACTTTCATGAGCTAGAAGGAAGCTTGAAATTAAAATAATAAAGTATCCCAGATGGGATGCAATACAATATTAGTGTCCAGGCCAAAGTGATTCTGGAATTCCAAAAATTAGTGAAAATCATCTGTACATTTTGGTAGAATATGTTGTGTTTGTTTCAGATCGTAGTCATGCTATTCTGCCTGTTTTCTACTAGCATTTGGTAACTTCTGTCTATTCACAGCCCTTATTTCAGCCTACAGAAATATCTCAGTACGCAGATCAGTAACAAGATGTTTCCAATATTGCAGGTGTGAGACAATCTTAAAGCCAGGCTTCAACTGCACTGTCCGCATAAAGAACAAGAGAAATAAAGCAAAACGCCGGAAGAAATCAAACTGTTGTCAGAACAGTGTTTCCTATGCATGCCATTTCTGTGGAGATCAGAACCTAATATTGGGTAGTGGGAAGGGTGTTGTTAAGAGCCTGTTACCATCAAGAGAGCATGCTACTATGAACTCATCCTATAGAATTATGAGAGGAAACAATAACAACACAAGGACACATGATAAGAAAGAAGTGCTTGAGCTTTCTCAAGCAGCAATTTTGCAAGTGGAATTGTCATCTCTGTTGAGACAGTCAACTTCTGAAAGTGATGAGCATGGCGAAAGGTTAAAATGTAATCTTGATGAACAGATGCATGAAACTGACCCTATTTCTTCTTCTGCAACAGCAACAACAACAACAACAACAAAGCCTTTAAGTCACAAATAAGTTGGGGTAGGCTAGAGTTAGAAACCCAGCAGAAGCAATCAAGGTTCAGTCATGTGAATAGCTGTTTTCCAAACACTCCTATCTAAGGCTAAGTCTTTGGGTATATTTCATCCTTTCAAGTCTTATTTTATTGTCTCTACCCAAGTCAACTTCGGTCTTCCTCTGCCTCTCTTCACGTTACTATCCTGGTTAGGATTCCACTACGCACCGGTGTCTCTGGAGGTCTCCGTTGGAATGTCCAAACCATCTCAACCGATGTTCAATTAGTGCTACCCCCTAATCTATCACGTATATCATCGTTCCGAACTCGATCCCTTCTTGTATGACCGTAAATCCAACGCAACATACGCATTTCCGCGACACTTATCTGTTAAACATTTCGTCTTTTCGTAGACTAATATTATGCACCATACAACATAGCAGGTCTAATCGTCATCCTATAAAACTTGCCTTTTAGTTTCTGTGTTACCCTTTTGTCACATAGGACACCAGATGATTGCCGTCACTTCATCCACCCTGCTTTGATTCTATGGCTAACATCTTCATCAATATCTCCGTCTCTCTGTAGCATTGATCCTAAATATCGAAAAGTATCATTCCTAGGCACTACTTGACCTTCGAAACTAATATCTTCCTCCTTCCAAGTAATAGTGCCGAAGTCACATCTAATATACTTAGTTTTAGTTCTACCGAGTCTAAAACATTTGAACTCCAAAGTCTCCCGCCATAACTCCAGTTTCTGATTCACTCATGTCCGGCTTTCATCAACTAGCACTACATCGTCCGCGAAAAGCATACACCAAGGGATGTCCCCTTGTATGTCCCTTGTGACCTCATCCATCACTAAGGCAAATAAATAAGGGCTCAAAGCTGACCCTTGATGTAGTCCTATCCTAATCGGGAAGTCATCCGTGTCTCGATCACTTGTTCGAACTCTAGTCACAACATTATTGTACATGTTCTTAATGAGCCCGATGTATTTCATTGGAACTTTATGTTTGTCTAAAGCCCACCACATAACATTCCTTGGTATTTTATCATAAGCCTTTTTTAAGTCAATAAAAACCATGTGTAGGTCCTTCTTCTTCTTTCTATACCGCTCCATAACTTGTCTTATTAAGAAAATGGCTTTAATGGTTGACCTTCCGGGCATGAAACCAAATTGGTTTATAGAGACCTGCGTTATTGCTCTCAAGCGATGCTCGATAACTCTCTTCCATAGTTTTATAGTATGGCTCATCAACTTAATTTCCCGGTAATTAGTACAACTTTAAATATCCCCTTTATTCTTGTTGATCGGTACCAATATACTTCTACTCCACTCATCAGGTATTTTATTCGATCGAAAAATATGGTTGAACAGCTTTGTTAGCCATACTATAGCTATGTCCCCGAGGCATCGCCTTACCTCCTTTCATCCTTTTCAACGTCTCTCTGATTTCAGATTCTTGGATTCAACGCACAAAGCGTCTATTGGTGTCATCAAAAGAGTCATCCAATTGAAAGGTTGTGTCCATATTCTCATCATTGAACAATTTGTCAAAATACTCTTGTCATCGATGTCGGATCTCATCCTCCTTCACTAAGAGATGCTCACTTTTATCCTTAATGCACTTAACTTGGTTGAAGTCCCTTGTCTTTCTCTCACGAACCCTAGCCATCCTATAAATATTCTTCTCTCCTTCTTTCGTACTCAAATGTTGGTAAAGATACTCGTACACTCTATCCTTTGCCACACTTACACCCTATTTCTTCTGAGAAGGTTAAAATATGTGAAGCTACTTTGCAAGCAGAACTTCCAGTTGGTTCATCATTTGTCACGCCTCAGAAAAAGAAACTGCTGGTGGCGACTGTCCCTGAAGATTCAGCAGGACTACTCAAGACAGGAAGTAGCGTGATTTCTGGCTCAGTCACCGACACCCTTTCAGGCTCTAGCTAGTCTGCCTCAAATGACTCTAGAAATAATGTGAAATATGCAGCAAAGGATTCTTCACAGGTTTCTGGCAGCTCAAGGAGGCGGGCAAGAAAGGGGTGGACGCACTGAAACAGATAGCTGAGAAGGATGAGCTCGAAAGGAAGGAGAAGATGGGTAATTTTGTAATCCCGTTCTTCATGCAGTAAGTGGAATGTTAAAATATTTGCCCACAATGTAATCGTTTTTGGTCATTAGTTTATCTATTGAGAAGGACAATGTAATTTTGGGAGAGAGAGAGAGAGAGAACAGAGAAGAAATGAGGTTACCAAATTCTGGTTGAATGTTCTAATGTTGCATGCAACAGGTTCTTTTATCAAGACAGCTCAGGTATAAGGGGAAAATCCCATTTTGAATTAGCAATATGTGATTAAAGGGGAACACATTCAAGACGAGCCATCAGCCATAGCAACATTAGATTTTATTGCGGTGGAATTGTCTACGTTCAACCAGAACTTGGTAACCCAACTGCACGTTATGCCCAAAATGACATTGTCAGCAACAGATTCTAGACGAACCATGTCAACATTCAAGATGAACCTAAGAACAAAACTGTGGCAGAAACGCATAATCTAATGCCTCTCGGAAGTACTTGTCTTCCATTAGACACTAAGTACTTAAGGGAGGACACTAAATTACGCAGTTCCGTCGGACACACCCAACGGGAGAATCTGAACATCCATATTTTCCCATCAGGATCACAAATGAGAGAATAAAGCTTACAACATTTAGCCATTTCTTACATCACTTTTTATGCAACATCAGATTATAATATTTACTGTTTATAACAGCGGAATATAATTATGTT